GTGAACCCAGCCTGAGCTATGCTACATAAACAGTGAACAGACTATCTGTGTCCACACTTCTGGTTTCTATTACATCCACCAGGAGACAGGTGGTGAGATTCTGAGGACACACCAATATACAATCATCACCTGAATTTAAATGGGACACCACATTGTCTCAGAGACAACAGACACTTTCAGCTTACACAAAGAAACAAGACAGAGTGCTCAAATAAGTGAACAAAATACAGAATCAGAAAACATAGCATCAGGTATCAATACTACCTGATAATGAATTTTAAAGACTGATAATAAGGCAACTTCAACAATTTGAGAGTAATAACATTCTAACACTCCCATCATCCTTTTTTTTTTAAGTGTTCTGTTTGTGGTATCCCTACTGCTCATGGAAAAGTCTACCATTCAAGAATGAACAAGGACATCTCTAACAATAAAATATTTGCAGAGGTGCACATCTACACACACTTCAGAATTGTGGCTTCACTTGCTGAGACTGTAGACTATGATCCTTAATTCAAAATTATTTATGCTTCATATTCATAACTTTTCCAAGATTTTTTCAATTTATTATAAAACATTCAAGTTCCCTGTTTCCTATCAACATCTTGCTTACTTTAATATCTTAATGAAGATTTTCCTCATGAATATGAAACTTCTCTACATCATTTTAGATTTCCTTGAATATAACTCAAACTTAATTTTTATCTGCTTTATCTTACAGATTATTAGATCTGATTCTTTAAAGGGAATATAATTATCTGAAATCAAGTAAAACTACATCTAAAACTTCTTTATACAAAACAGGAATTTATGTTTTTTAACTACTCATTAGAATATATTCTTTCTAATATGTCTACCTTTACAATTTTCTCCAGAATTTGAAGTAGATTCAAATAAAATGTCACCAGGAAAACAGAAGAAGGTATAGGAAGACTATCCCAAGATTTTGCTTATGTTTCAAGGAACTCCAGAGTGTGTGCCATTCATCTTTAAGGACCAAAGATGTTTTGAAAATAAATACTTATTCAACTATAAATGTCATCTCTCTCATGGTGATCCCTTATGTGTCATAGTAGAATAGCGCTCTTTAGGATTTTCAATGGGTGAATTTTTGTAAGTAGATACTTAGAACTTTATTCCAAGATACTTCTGGATGTCTTTGAAGCTCCAACCTTTTTGAGTGTGTTCATTGTTTGTACCACCTATGAACTCCATCTCAAGGAAAGAAGAGCTGAAATAATATGAAACAACATTTACAGAAATGTATTTGTTAATGAAAATAAACAGAATATATATATCTCAAAAAATGGTAAATGGATAAATGATTGTGATTACCCTGATCATTTTTAGTAAAACATTGATATTATATAAAGAAAGCATTTGTGTTTGCTAATTTGACTCCATGGTACTTAACAACAACAACAACAATTTGAGTTATGTATCAAGGGAAATAAATTAGCTGAATTACAAAAATGTTGTGTCTCCACATCTCTGAATTTCAGAGGAAGCTAGTTGAAGTAAATGATTTCCTTTCTTGAACTCTTTTCACTGATGCATAAATCAAATCACACTTCACTCTTTGACATTGCCTAGAGACTTAATGAAGAGATAGGTAACAGAACGTTTTGAACATAGGATATTATTCTATTATCAGCACTGTGGTCAATGATGAGGGTTCCTTGCATAGTGCAAATTGTTAAGTACTCAAATCAACTAAAAAAGCTTGACAAATAAAATGCACTTGGAAGATGATCTATTTTTATTTTTTTAAGTTTTTATTGTGAATTGGGTGATATTTACATGGGAGAACACCAGCATTACATTCATCCTATCGCATTTTGTTTTATTGGAATGATTACAATCCCCTCCATGCATCATCATTCAACAGCGTTTGCTTCCATTCCCTCAGTTTTGTTGTTGTTGTTGTTGTTGTTGTTGTTGTTTTGTACACCGAAGCACTCAGGAAATACCACCATTTAGACAAACAAAGGACACACCCCACAAACCTGCCCCCACTCCCCCACTGTCAGCACACAGCCCTCTCCCTCCCTGAGTCCAGAGTCCCCAGCTGCTCCATCTCTGCATGTCACCGTCTCTTCCTACATCTCTGGTGTCACTGCTTCTCTGGATAGGGTCCCACACTCCACTCTTCTCTCTTGATGGCCTCAGGGTCCTCTGCTCCTGGACTGCAGGATCAACCACTTCTCTTCTTTTGTTACAAACCGTCTACCTTTACATTTACAATACCCACAATAAGTCCTGATAGCAATTATTCACTATTGAACCACAAGAGTCTTATCCCTATCTCCTTTCACCAGCCCTGCCAACACAGGTTAGAAACCACTCAATGGAGATTCTACCACATCCTCTGAAACTAGGCTCCCTCTTGAAAGCTTGTTATCCAGTCATGTTGTGTCTTGGTAGCCCCCCAATTTTGGGTAGCCAATGTCTAAGTTGCCCATCCTAGTCAACCCTATGTACTGAAGGGGTGGGAATCATCCTCTCTGTAAAGATTCATTCCCTCTTTTGAGCTACTACATCCATAAGTATAGTCAAGTTCATCAAATTGTAGCAGAGTACTCTTTTTGCCCTCTTCTTTCTTCCTCTAGTCAAGTTCTGATCATCCAGCCACTAAAGGCAGGTCAAATTGGTGTTATCTGTAAGTGTGGGTGTTCTTGTGTATCTCCCCTCAGTTCATATCAGCTGGATGCTTCACTCTCCACTCTAGTCCTCTGTAGCCAGGTCCCTGTCCCTGGATCTAGGAGTCCCCAGGTCTCGCCATACTGCTGGCCAACTAGGTCTGAATCCAGGTTGACAGGAGTCTGTTGAAAGTGGTCGGACTTAGCTTACAACTTCATTGCTGTTTTTCCCCCACTTCCCCTTAATAGTAGAACAATGTACTCACCAGCAAGACCATATGCCTGCTTGTGTATTTTCTCTGAGTCTCAGTCTTGGAAGGGGGTTTGCTCTGAGGGGACCCAACCACTTGCTCTGATGGCTTTCCAGTGAACAACTTGCTTGTTTTTGTAGTAGTCAATCAGACTACCATTATTTTAAAATATTTTTCCTGCTGGTCTTTCTTTCAAGAAGTACTGTTCTTCTAGTAGCTCCAGGCTTGTCTGCTTGTCCTTTTGAGTGGAAATTTCCCACTTCAGAAAATTCTAGATGGGGATCCAGATTCCACCTATGGTCTTATGCAATGCAAAGCCTCTGTAGGAAGCCTCCTTCACTGAGAAAGTTCTAGCCCCATTTTAGATATCAGTTATAGGCTGAAGACGGACTTACAAGCTTTCTCTTGTGATGTTTCTGGCTAGTCATTTCTCTCCCCTTCAAGTGTCTGTTTTACAGTAGTAGGCAAGGGAAACCAAGATTCGACAGACAACCAAGCATCTTAACATTATTTCCCCTTGTTTATCCATTCAAACCATGCCTCAATCCTTGTATCCCAGAGCCTTGTTGTTCCAAGCCTGAGCATACATAAGATGATCTGCTTTTGAAAACTTTTTGACCTCTTTATGGAGCACAGTTCTACTCAACAAAATATGAAGTCCCATAAATCAGAAGAGACTCAATGGCAACTGGTTTGTTTTTGTTTGTTTGTTTTGTTGGTTTTTGTCAGTGATGATAGATATATGTATATAATTATCCCTTCTCATGCATCCTGCAAAATACATAAATTTCAGGAATTTTTAAACAACATGATTCGTTTAGCTTTGCTGTGCCATCTAACAGAGTAGATTATAGCAATGAAGGGAATGTGTCAAAACATGTCAATGTTTATAAAACAGAATTCCATATGCCTGATTAAAAATAGATGACTTAGAGCTGTAAAATAAGCTGGAGCGCAGGTTGATTTGAACTGCAAGTTTGGCAGATCAAACTCACCTGCTGCTCCTTGGAAACACTATACAGGGTTGCTATGAGTCAGAACAAACTCAACACATTTAACAATGGCAACAATTTAACACTGCAGATCTTTACAAATAAATTTATTGTTTACAAATGATTAAATGTAGTATTTGAAGAAAAATCACCAGCTATTCAGAATATTAGCTGACCATTGTATACCCGAAAATCTGAACAGATCTCTTTGATGATTATTGACGAAATACTCGGCACCACTGCAAAAAAGCGTGATCAAAGATAAATGGCATTTCATATATAGAAATATTTCTAAACACATAATAAGCATAATTTTTAAAATTTATCAAAAGTTTCTGTTTGGGTTTGGTTTCTATTGTAAATGTCAGTTTATCAAAGTTTCATTAAAATAGAATCCATTATTTTGATTATTTCTGTTGGTATACTCTAAACAGAAATTGGGACCCATTGGAGATTATTTTTACTGTCCTGCAGAAGATTTATGCATAAAATATAAAACAATTATTAGTGTAAAAAAATAGAGATACAGTTGGCTAAAGCCAGATTTTCAAGAAAATTTACTAAGTTGGCTCTTTGTTAACTATATTACAGAGATGAATGAGAAGTGTGATTTTCTATACTACATTCTTTCATATGTAGAGAAGCAGATGAAATCCTGAAAAAGATAAATTGTTTAGAAGAAAGAGAGATGAAAAACTAATTGGTTAAAAATGAATGTCATTACTTGTAGGACAGACAGAGAATGTAGAACTATTTTGTGCCAAGGGGAAGTTAATACTGGTCTACTGAAAATGCTACTTCTTAAAATGATGTATGTTTATAGAAGTTAAAGACATAATGTAATACAAGGATTTGTATGCCTGACTATGCCCTATCATAATTGGTGAATTTTTTCAGGGGAATCCTGAGTGGCCAAACAAAACAAGCTCTTTAATACCTCTGAGGCTTTATCTTATGGTTGAGAAATAAAAATTAAGTTGATTAGTCATAAAGTTAGCACGTGTGGTTGGTCTCATCCCTACTTAGAACATATAAAAGGGCCTCTACAGGAAGAAATATTCAGACAGAAGTCACCTACACTCCTTTTCTTCCCAAGGACAATTTCAACAATCAACACCATGTGTGGCAGCTACTATGGAAACTACTATGGAGGCCTCGGCTATGGATGTTGTGGTTACAAAGGCCTGGGCTGTGGCTACGGAAGCCTAAACTGTGGCTACGGAGGCCTGGGCTATGGCTATGGCTCTGGCTATGGCTGTGGCTTCTGTGGACTGGGCTGTGGTTATGGCTCTGGCTATGGCTGTGGCTTCCGGGGACTGGGCTGTGGCTATGGTTGTGGTTCTGGCTATAGCTCTGGATTTGGCTACTACTATTGAGAAAGCCACAGATGACTATCACTCTCTATACCTAGACATCATGATTTACCAATTCTGAAACCTACATATCCTCAGTCTCACACTGTAATAACAATTATCCTATATCATAGGTTTCTAGAGTGATTTTGCAAAAGAATTTTCATCTGGTATCCTATGAATTGACACCTCAAACATCCTTTCCTGGATCTATCTCATGCCAACTAGAGAATATGAAATTAATCCAGTGAATTTCTGCATTTCTTCTCTTTAAAATGTTACCATTGTATCACAATTCTTGACTTTTCATGTTCATGCATGAACCTTTTTCTATTTTCTTAATAAACTTGTTTAATTTGAGATAACAAATGTGATTGTCTTTTTCCTTAATGTTCAGTATTTTTCATTTTGTCCTACCTTTGTGATTTTCATTCATCATTCTGTGCCACACTAAGTCAAACCAAATCAAAAATCATGCCATCAAATCAATTTTAATTTATAGGAATCTTATACAGGGTTTTTAAGACTAAATCTTTACGAGACCAGACACTCTCCTCTTTTTCCTGAGAAGCCACTTACTGCTGTTGTTCATTACCATCAAAAGGTTCTGACTCACAGTGACCCCATACACACCAGAATGAAATACCACCAGGCCCTACACCATCATCACAAATTTTGCTATGCTTGAGTCAATTGCTGCTACCACTGTGCAATCCCTTTCATTGGTGTTCTCCTTCTTCTTCACTGACCCTCCACTTTACCAAGCATAATATCCTTATCCAGTGACTGGTCCCTCCTGATAACATGTCCGAAGCATGAGAAATGAAATCTTGCAACCCTGGTTTCTAAGGAGCATTCTGGCAGTGCTTCTTCCAACAATGATTTGTTTGTTCATCTGACAGTACTTTCAGTAGTCTTCTCCAACAGCATAATTTAAATGCATCAATTCTTGTTTAATCTTCCTTATTCATTGTACTACATTCACATACATGTGTGGTTATTTAAAATGTCATGACTTAGGGCAGGCACATACCTTAGTCTTCAAACTGATATCTTTGCTCTTGAACACTTAAATGATGTCTTGTGCAACAGATTTGTCAAATGCAATATGGCATTTAATTTCTTGACTAATGCTTCAATAAGTGTTGATTGTAGATGCAAACAAATAATGTCTTTGATGGCTTCAATCTTTTCTCCATTTATCATGATATTACTTATTGGTCCAGTTGTGAGGATTTCTGTTTTTGTAACATTGAGTGGCAATCCATACTGAAGGCTGTGGTCTTTGATCTTCATCAGCAACCAAGATTGTATCATGTGCATATGGCAAGTTGTTAATGAATCTTCCTATAATCTGACCTTGTGGTTAGCAGTCCAGTGCTTATCAAACAGTGCCATCAGGGCTCCTTTTTCTGTGCCCCAGTGTTCCTAAAATCAATTAAGGGAATTCCCAAATTTTCTTCTTTTTTTCAAAATAGAATAAATGTATATTCTATTTCAGAACAGAATAAAGTATACTTTATTATTTTGGATTTTTTTTGTTTACTTGTTTCCAAGAAATAAAACAACTGACAGTTTTTAATATATATTATATTAATATTTATTATTCAGTTGCTCTATGTGTTCTAGATTTATAATTTATTAGAGAATATTTTGATTCCTGTTGTGGTGTTGTAGGGCAAGTACAGAACTGCTAACTGCAAGGTCTGTGGTTCAAACCCACCTCACTTCTAGACAACAGTATACAGGGATCATTATGAGTCAGAACCAACTCGACAGCAGCTAACAACAGAAATAGTAGAGAATATATATACATTTTTTTTTAAATGTTTGGGAATTGAGTGAAAGTTTACAGAGCAGATCATTAGTTTTATGTTCAACAAATCATACACTTTGCTTCATTATATGTTTGCAATCCTGCACATGCACCAACAATTAACAGCATTTACCTGTTATATATGCAGTGTTGTGTTGTTTGCTAAATGCTGTCAAGTGGATTCTAACTCCTAGCAACCATGTATGGGGTTTCTGAAGAGCAGCTGGTGTTTGAACTATTCAGTCCAATGCTTATCTCCAGAGAGAGAACTAGGATGGACCACCCTATTCCATATGAGGTCACCAGTGTTTACTGATGAATGCTCAAGAAATCCAATCTGTACTCATTGTAGTGAAAGTAAGGTTTTATTACTCAATTATGCAAAATCAGATGCCAAACACAGAAGCCAAAACGGGCAGATGTGCTACGTGGCCGTTTTACAGGTGCTCTTGTTTCCTAGCTTGAAAGTTCCTCCCCTGGTTCCTCACTGACTGAGTACTATGGGGTGAACAATCTTCCTGGATGTCACCTATTTCCTTTGATGGTTGCATTTTTATTTTAAAGTTTCTCTGGTAGCATAGTGGTTATGAATCGGGCTGCGAGCCTCAAGGTCAGCAGTTCGAAATTACCAGTGGTTCCGCGGGAGAAAGATGAGGCGGTCTGCTCCCGTAAAGATTTGCAGCCTTGGAAACCCTGTGTAGGGTCCCTATGAGTCGGAACCGACTCCACGGAACATCACAACAACAACTTCTCAGATAGTTTCCCTTCCCCCTCCTCTAATTTATCCTGTTTACACATACTCCAGGTGAATGGGCTCCTGTCAATATATCAGTCAACAATCTATACCTGATCAATTAGCACATTCCTAGATCCCTTATTTCCTTATTCCTGAAGATAGACCAGTTTGATAATTACTTCTCACATGAGGAGCAGCTGATGAGCTTGATCCACCAACCTCTTGGTTCAAACCAAACTTGCAGTCCAGTGCATTAGCCAGAAGTGACACACCAGGAGATCATCAAACACATAAACCTTTTAAAACATTCAAGTTCAATCTTTTCTTCATCTGACTAACCCCATTCATAAGCATATGGCTTTGGGCCTCTGGCAGAGTAGATTACAGTAGGCCTAGATCTCTAATCAGCCTTCCTTTTCAACCAGCATGCCACTGACTCCAAACGACGTTAGAATTTGCAGCTTTCCCCTTATCTGAAATATTTTATCCTGTGTCCCTTCATTCTTTCTCTTACAAAACCTCATAATTTCACATGTCTGGAGCCATTGCAATGAATCCTGCTCATTCACAGTTCCAACTGCTTAAATCATGTGAGGATGATGTCTGACTTCCTTTTATGTCACAAGGGAGAAAAAGGAACCAAACTCAAAATCAGCCCAAGGCTAATTCCTATGCAGTGGAGGTCAGTCATACCTCCACCCTATATCAGTGCCTTTAAAATTAGTCAGAATTGTGAAACAATTTAGAAAACTCATCCTTATGATTTTGTTTCTCTAGAACCCAACATTCTTGATACCACATGTCTTAGGCCAGAGAAGCAAAACCAGTGAAATACATACATACATACATATATATATATATATATATATAT